AAGCCTCTGCTTGAATATCATATTTTCAATGACACCTTCACTGGCCACCCTTCATGATATAACTCCTATAACGGTCTCTATTCCCTTTTTATTGCTTTATGGTTGTCCTTGACATTTATCATATTCTGACACACCACATATATGTTGATTTTCTTTCTCTGTTAGATCATAAACTTCATGAAGGTAGTCTCTTTGTCTTGTTGATTGCTCTATTCTTGGCACCTAGAATAGTGTTACTACATAAGATCTGCTCAAAACTAATACTGAATGGAAGAACAAAGGCCTATAGTAGCCTTATGAAATCATTACTATTATTTTTCCTACTTTACTGGTAAGGAAACATATCAACTGAAATACTAAAGATTCTGTATCTGGCAGAACTGAGATTTGGGATTTAAAAAAAATTCATATTTGTTGTACTATGCACTGGGCATTCTTCTGAGTGCTTTATGTACATTAATATCTAATCCTCAAAACAACTCTTTTTATACATGAGGAAACTAAACTGAGGAGGGATTATGATCTTGCTTGGCATCTTGTCACTCGCAGGTAAATTGGAGGCCTGTGCTCTTAACTATTTTGCTACATTACCTGACATGAATTTTGGAAGAAATATGTGACTTTGCCTCTTGGAAGAAAGAACTCTAGGATTTCTAAGATTTATTTTGATTGGGAACTTCCACAGATGGTAGAGTAATCAAGTAAGTCAAGGATGGTAGGATGATTTGGTTTCATTCTCCCCTAACTCCAGACTCTTATATTAGGATACAAGTTCAGCTGCAGTAAAGGGATCTAAAATAATCATTGAAGATTACAAATGTTAGCAGCTGATTCAAATCGAAGTTCAAACTGATACACAGACTTTGCCTAATGAAGGCCTCAGGACTCTCCTTATTGCTCTGTGATAATGGGAGTGCCTTCCCCATCTTAATTTGTGCTGCTATAACAAAACACCTGGTATTGGGTAATTTACAAAGAATAGAAATTTATTTTCTCACAGTTCTAAAAAGTCTGAAGATCAAGATACTAGCAGGTCCAGTATCCAATGAAGGCTTCTCTCTGCTTCCAAGATGATACCTTGTTGCATTCTCTGCAACAGATGAATGCTATTCACATGATGGAGGTGAGGAAGGGCAAAGGAGGGTCTAAAGTAGTTCTTTCCAGGACTTTTATAGCCGCAGTAATCTACATGCATAAGGGCGGAGCTCTCATGACTTAATCACTTCTCCATAAGGTTTTACCTCTTAGTACCACCATAATGGGTGGTAAGTTTCAACATAAATTTTGATGAGAATACCATCATTCAAACCTTCCAACAAAACAGCTCACCACATTTCAATCCTCAGAAAGGGATGAGGGGAAACAGCATGTGAAATTCCTTCTTCTTCTTCTTTTTTAAACAGAGGGTCTCATTATGTTGCGCAGGCAGGCCTTGGAATCCTGGGCTCAAGTGATTCTCTTCCCTCAATTTCCTGTGTAGCTGGGATTACATGCATGCACCACTGCAGTCTAACATCATTTCTTTCAATAGTGTGATCCAGAAGGTACAAATATCATTTTTATTCACAGTCTATTGGCCAGAATTTAGTGACATGACACACTAAGGGGTCAGGATGTGTAAACTGATATGCACATTAGGGATCAACGAGCAAGCAGTCTCTACTAAAGCTATCCAATAAGCTTTTCAAATTTAGCATTGTCAAAACCGAATTCCTTCTTGTTATTCTAAAATCTGCTCCTCTGCACAGATATCCCCATCTCAGTTAATGGTGGAAAATGGGACAGTGCTTGGGGTGTTATAGAAATCTAGTTCAAATTCCCTACAAAGGGTTGAAAACTTAAGTGTCTTAAGTTTCCAAGTGAGGTCTATGTTCAATATTCAGACTTGAACTCTGACCAAAGTGACAGAGAAAGAGTACATGTAAATTGTAATATGGAGGGCAAAGAGAACCAAGGATGGAGAGGAAGAGTGGCCCAAAACACTCGGAAAAAAGCCAGAGAACTTAAGGTGATGGAACCAAAGAGCAGTTTCCAGGAGGCATTGGTTAGCATGTTGAAGGTTGCAGAAAGATAAGATACTATGAAAAGTGAGAAGCAACCTTTGATTTAGCTATTATGATACAAGGAATGTATAAAGTAAAATGGAGGTAGGTGCTAAATTTTAGTAGTTGAAGAAGGTTTTGGAAGGAAATGGTAATCTGAGTATAGATACCTTTTAAAACAGAAAAGACAAGGTCAATAGAGGGAGAATTTATGAACAGGAGAGGGAAAAATAGAGGGAGTTAATTTTTTAAAAGGGGTCTTGAGGTGACCCCTTTTAAAAATTGTCTGTATAAAGGAGGAAGGATGATTCATACCTGACAGGTCAGGAAGAAGGCAAATTTAGCTCTGTATGAATGAAAGCAGGGCACTAAGGAGTTCATACTGGATATATGTAACAGTAAATAACAATATTAATAATACTAATATTATTATTGCTAATAAGCACTAACATTTATTGTGTTCTTTATTTATTGAAACTAACATTTATTGGGTACTTATCACATGCTTCTTGGAGTTAATTTTGCTTCAGAAGTACTTGTTAAATATTGGGACCTACTCATACACCAAAATCTTAGAATCTTTCAAGAGATGAGTGTTTTTTATTTTGATGTAGCCTAAAAATAGCAATTGTGAATATCACCACATCTGAACTTTCTCCTTCGTGCTCTCAGATTATTTCTGATTGTGGGGCATGCTGTATAATAAAAAATTGTGGTTTTGTTTTTTAATTCATCTGTTGTAATTCACATCAATAAGAAAATTTGAGCACTGAAATAGCCCTGTCAAAAACTCCCACTTCACTGGCAGATTAGGGAAAAATATTTCATTTTCAAAAAGTATATTAGTATTAGTTCATATTAATAGACAACTCTACTCCACAATTACACAACCAGTGTTGTGTTACTATGAAAAAGTGTTCAGTTTTTACAGGTGTGATATCCTCCTGAACTGCCTTCTAGAGGGGAGGATAGAGATTGTTGATCTTTTATTGATTTCCAAGGCCTGGCACAGTTCTGGGTAAACACAAGTTCAAAGTTTTCACATAGCATTGATGTATACACTTATAAAATTATACTGCTTTTTACTTTTTACCTGAAATGGGAAAATTATTAGAAACTACTGGTTCTCATTTGGACTAGAATAGTCTAAAGAATTTACTGCAAACTTAGTTATGAAGTTTTTTCTGAGAAAACATACTTGAAGAGAAATAAGGGTCTAGTTTCAGATAAACATTTTCTTTTTCATCAAAACTCGTATGTATGGAAATGGAACACTACTGGTAAACTGAGGACTCCTGATAATATTCATTGCTGACAATTTTTATCAATCGACATTTCTTAATTTAAAAATGGGTAAACCAAAAAATACAGAGAGTTCCTGTGTCAAGTTTAACACAGTAGTCACACACAAGAATATATATATCTAACTTGAAGAATTAAAAGGATAAGGGTAATTTTTTCAGATTCCCAGGAAGAATTAGGTTTTTTGTTGGTCTTACTTAAAACCAGAATAGTCATTTCAACATCTAAAAGTAGATTTACTTCCCTCAGTCTTGAAACTCTTTTAGAACTCATGGATTTCAGCCACATTTGAAACTTCAGTCTATTATAAAATTAATTTCACTTACTCAGACAATTCCTATTTAAGAGAAAATAAAATAGCTAAAAGTATCTTCATATGATAAATCTAGTAGTAAAATTTTGCTTTATTTATTCTAATAAAGTATTCAAAGATTTTCATTCTCAGTTGCCAGTAGCTTCCAAATGTGAATCTATAATGGGGGAGAAATGGTAAATGAATAAAGATATTTTAAAAATATCTTACAATCAGACATAGCTTAATACTTTCATTTATCATCAACTGTCCTAGAATAACTTACTCTTGCTTATTTTTTATAATTTAATAATTGAGTATAGGTGGGAGGTGGATTATTTCTATCCATATATACACATTTATGTATAAAAATGTCAATTACCTGATTTTTTATAAAAAAGATGTTAAGAATTGCAATGTAAAAATTCACTGCTGATTAATGACATTAACATTTTCTGAATACTAGATGACTGGTGTATCACATAGTACTTAAAGGCTTATCCAAAAAGTGGAAAACCTTAAGACTGAATTAGTGATTTTTAAAATAACTTCGCTAGCAAAATCCCCCTTAAACAAAACAAACAACAAACAACAACAAAAAAAACCCCCAATCCTTTTTAAGTCGCCCTAGTACCAAGTATGACACATGGATTTAAAAAGGCTAGGCTGTTATATGGATTAAAATTACCCTCTACCCTCATGGAGTCAACTAAGAGACCACTTACTTTGACAACCCACTAAATGTCAACACTATGGGAGGTGGGCTTTTACCTTCTAATCACATCCTGTGTTGTCAAGTGGCCTAAGCAGATGACCTTGGTCCTTGAACACTGGCCCACACTCTCGGGACACCCCTGAAATGTTTACAAGTGCAGCTCTGGGAGAAAAGGAATTCGGGTCGGAACCTAGTATCTGTCGGTTCCGCCTTGCCTCGGGCCTGGGGGCTATCAACACTGCCCAAGCTGACATATGGAATCAATTCATTCCCCAATAAAATCGGAGGCGTTTCTTGGTTGGGTAGGCCCGGGACTCCAACCCTTCTGGGGATCGCTGGGGTTTCCAGAGTGTACCCAATTCTATTAGACGACAGAGTAGGGGCTTAAAAGGGAGATTATTCTTTTTGCCCAGTCTCAAGATGGCGACCAACCCTAAAGAGACTCCGCGGGACCGCGGGCCATCTCCCCTTCCCACGGGCCCCTGCGCCGGCGGCGACGGTAAGCGGGAGGTGAGGGCAGAGTCGCACGGAATTTCGCCCCGCCCTCCCGCGCTCATCCTAGCACCGCCCCGCGTCCCCGCGTCCGGCTTGGAGTCCTCGCCTGGCTGGGAGGCGCGCGCTGCCTGCCGGGATACTCGGCCCGCCCAGCCAGTCCTCCCGTCTTGCGCCGCGGTCGCGAGATCCGCGTTTCTCCCAAGATGGTGGCGCTGGGCTCGGGGTGACTACAGGAGACGACAGGGCCTTTTACCCATCGCCAGGATCCCGACGCATCACACTTCGCTCGCTCACGCACCCTGCCATCGCTTAGTTATCTGCCGACCCGGGCGCCTGCCACCCGCTCCGACTTACGCTTCACCTCTACCGACCCCGGTCGCGGGCAGCGGCGCCACCCTCAGCTCCTCCTCTCAGTAGCTCGCGGCCTGTAGCCCCTGCCAGGAGGGCCTCGCAGCCCCCCAGTGTGGACAGACAGCGGCGGCTAGCGACGAGTGCCGGGTTTTCGGCGGCCTAAGTGCCCCGTTTCCCGGCCTCGGTTTCCAGAGAAGGAAGCGCGGGTCCCGCATGAGCCCCGGCGGTGGCGGCAGCGAAAGGGAACGAGGCGGTGGCGGGCGGAGGCGGTGGGCGAGGGCGACGACGACCAGTGAAGCGGCCGCAGCTGCGAGGGCCGCAGCCCAGGCGCGGGGGCGACGACAGGTTAGTGTTGCTGCGGACGCGGTCTGGGCCCGGAGGCGCGATCTCCCCTCGGTCTCCTTTTTTGCCCTCGCCATCCTTCGGGACCCTTCTGGCAAGGATAGGCATCCCTTCCCCCACCCCCACCTCTGCCGGATAGAGTGTTTGGGGGCGCGTGGTGTTGAGGGGCCGGTGCCAGGAGTAGGCCCCTGGTGGCCGTGGCTGCTGCAGCCTTAACTGTCAGTCCTGGATATACGCTGGTTTTGTCGTCCAAGGGGACTCGAGAGGGCCCGGGGCGGGGCGGACGTGCTGGGCGTCGAGATGGGGCCCTATTGGAGCTAGGATCGCAGAGCCGGCCAGGGCCTCTAGGCTAGCAAAGGATGCCTTTTCATTCAAAGGGGAGCTCTTTCTCGGCGTTCTCGGCTCTCTTGGGGAAGACATATTTAATCGTGTGCATAGTGGGTTGGGGTTTTGGGGGTGGATTGATAGTGAGGGAGGGCGGATGGAGTGGTATGTCAATCCTAAGGATTGTGCTCACAGATTACTCATGTCTTGTTGATCGCCAGGTTTCTGGATTTGAACGTGAGTTCTTGGGTTTGTTAGAGCTGACTTAAATATAAATGCAAACCTTAAAGCGGGTGGCTTTTTTGTTTTTTTAACCTTTCTAGTTAAAGAATGAAAAGGATGTTTTCCTCATCTTGGGGTAGAGGCTTTTGTTAGTAAAGCCAGAATTAAGTGTGCCAGATATTTTTTTAATATGTAAAATATAAAATATGATTTTAAAGCAGACACTGGTTAATCTTAGAATTCTAGAAAGATAATCTAGTCTATTATTTTTGGTTTCCTGTGGTCGTATTAAAATAGAAACACCGCAAAATCTGTTTGAGATTATATTTATTTACTGACTAGGGTGCTGTTGGAAATGTAAACTGAATAGCATATGGAATTTACTGGCCAAATATGGATATGGCCCATAATTTTTGATCATTTCACTCATGCAGTATTGGGGAAAAAAACCCAAATGGTTTATTCTATAGTGTTTTTTGTTTCTGTTTTTTTGGAAAGGGAAGGGAATTTGAAATAAAGACGACCTAAAGTTTAAGATTTAAGAAATAAAAATATTAAAAGTTATGTCAAAGACACGTCGGTACCCAGTAAATCTTGGTGGCTAAATTGAACAAGTGGCATCAGAAGTGTTTTTCTTACACATCTGACTATACTTAAATACACTTAAGAAATTATTTGGTAAATCGTGTAAAATTTAGAATTTGGGAGAGAAAAAAAATTTGGTCTTGGTATGTGTAGTGGGAATAGTTTTGGAATTAGATTTTAAATATAAGCTACTTATTCATGTTTTTAATGAATTGAATACAGTATTAATTCTGCTGTTAATAAGCTTTAAGGATGACTCCTAAACATTAAAAAGCACCACAAAAACCGACTTTTTAAAAAAAAACACCCCAAAACAACATTCACAACAGCAAAAAAAAAAAAAAACTTCAAGAAATAATTTATAATTTTTACATATTTGTGATATGCACAGAAGGATGCAAAAATATGATTGAAATAATTTGTAATCTTTATTTATAAAAATAGAATGTATAAGCTATGAAAATAAGCTATGAAAGTCTTATTTTGTCAATATTTAACTAGCATTAGTGTGCTAAGTAGTGTACACACCATCTTTTGGACATTGCCCTCATCCCTGAGAAGTTTAACCTATGCAGAGATACAACATACTGTGTTTTGATTTCAGAGGTTTTGTAGTCTGCTTTTGTTTTATATCTCTTAAAATATACCCTTATTATTATTTTTTTTTTCATAGCTTAAAAAGTAACTTTGTAAGTAAGGGTACTTTTTAGACATCCCGCTTGTCTAGTCCATTTAACAGGATTCTTTGGGTGCCTACAGTGTCTTTGGCATGTAACCTTTAATCACTTGTATTTCTTAAACTTTGGGTAATTTCTGTGTCAGTCTCCTTTCTCAAAAAAATTGTAATAATTTTTATTTCAATATTGGAATCAGTATGACCCAGAACTATAGATGGATCATATCTCAGTTTTTCTTCCTGAGCACTTAATGTTTCCAAATTTCTATTTTTTAAAATGAATATTGGTTATATTATCCAGTCATGTTGTATACTTTTTATTTAGACTTAATAAATTGTACAGGATTAAATGCAGGTGCATTTAAGGTGCATATACAGCTATTAAAAGGTACCGTTTTCTGATGTTCATGGGTGAAGAGAAATCAAAAAGTGATCATTCAAGTAAGTAATGCATGTGCCACAAGGTTGTATTTTTTTTAAAAAAAAGTCTTAAATGCTCTTTTCACCATAATTCAGGATGATAATTTTGAATAGCTTTGAAAATTCCCCTCTCAGACAAGTGTAAAGATAATGTAATCAGAGATATCTTGGTACATAGAGTGGAAATAGCTTTGCCATTAGAACCTGTTTTTAATTTTGGTGAATCACAGTTTTGTTATCTGTAAGACAGGATGGTGAAACTATCTCAGATTTGCAAGCATGTTGAATACTTAATCCATGGGCACTCAATAAATGTTACCTTATAGTCTTCCTCTTCAGTTTTTTTTTGAAAGGTCTGAAGTACTATATACATAGTGACCTATAGCATTTTATGCTTTATACTGCTTGTTTTCTTTCACAGTGTGAACTCAACTTTTAGAGGGCAAGGACTCAGAGGATTCCTAGTGTTTACCTGAGAGTATGTTACTAGATGTCTTAGTCTCTTCAGGCTGTTATTATAAAATATTGGAGACAAACAATTATTTAAAAAAAATTATTTTTCACAGTTTTGGAGGATGAGAAGTCCAAGATCAAGGTGCTGGCAAATTCCTGTATGTTTGGTGAGGACTTTCTTCCTGGTTCTTAAGATAGCTACCTTTTCACTGTAAACTTTTGTAGTGAAAAGGGTAAAGGGGTTTTCCTTTGGGCCTCTTCAGTATGGGAATTAATCCATTCATGGGGCAGATCTTCCCCAAAGTCCTGCCTCCTAAAAAGTAACTTTGTAAGTAAGGGTACTTATTAGTCATCCCGCTTGTCTAGTCCATTTAACAGGATTCTTTGGGTGCCTACAGTGTCTTTGGCATGTAACCTTTAATCACTTGTATTTCTTTAGGTAATTTCTATGTCATTTAGGCTTTCAGCATAGGAATTTGTAGGGGACACAAATATTGAGACTGTAGTTTTAGAGTATGCTTCAGTTACCAGTGAATTAGCAGGGGGTCCACTAACATCTCTTAGGTACCTACTGTGGCTACTATGAGCCAAGATACATTACAGAAGCCACAAAGACATTTGGAAATTGATGAGTCTAGTGATTTTCTCCATAAAACACATTAAAAAAATTTAGTAAAGCCCTGTTAAATATGGAACTTCATTCTCCATTCTCTGCCCTTTTAGTTTTAGGGCAGATTTCTATAGATTTAACACCTCCCATCCCCCACCTTCTACTCTACCTGTTTTACTTTTTACATCCCTTTGGCATATTTTTTACTTCAGATTTTGGTCCTAGCGCACCATTCAATTTTTGGGCATATGTATGTTAGTGTTTCTAGATCTGTGTGTGTGTGTATAATTTAAAGAATTTAGTACTTGCCTATCAATATTCCTTCTTTTCAGGGGTGGTGATTATCATTATGTTTTCTAGTAATAGATTCTTAGATGTTGTAAACCTGAGTAGGATTATCCTATTCTGTTTCATTTTCTACATAATTGAAGTGTAAAGATGGTTTTCTTAATGTCTCACAGGTGGTGGGGCCATAACCAGTATCTCTGGACTATAGTTCAGATTCCAGTTATGACTTTGCATGTAGTTAGGTCTTTGCGTGCTCTTTACATGTTTTGTCTTACCGTTGTGAAGAGTAGTTAACACTTTGTAATTATCCATCAACTTGTGGAGTTATTTTCTACACCATTAATAGAAGCAAATGAAGTACCACCAGTAAACCTTTTCTTTTACTAAAGGAAACAAAATTTAATAGAAATAATTAGTACTAATCTTGTAGAAACTTATATTCTATATCCAAATGTGAGATGTTTGAAATACTTAAAGATGCTGTATATATTTGTTTAATAAAGAGACCTATTAAAATATATAGTGAATATCTTTGCCAACTTTCATTTAATTTAATCTCAAAAATGTTACTAATAGTGCTTTGATGTAAGTTATCTTTATCAAGTAAATTCCAATATGGATAATAATTTGGAAAGGTTATTAATAAGTATTAGTAACCTGAGAATGAAATAAGATTATTTTTTAATATTGCTCTTTGTGCTTGATACTTAGCTAGAAGTCAGCTATTACTGCTTGCTTCTAAGATTTAGGATTTACCCCTCTAAAATTATATAAGATTTTAAGTGCTTCAGCATTTCAACAGGTTTAATGAACAGAAGCCACCCTGGACCATTGAAATGGAGAAAGGAGCGCTTTGATATCAGAATATCTTGGGCTCTTTTGTTTTCTCTAGCTTCTCAACTGGTTACAAGCAGATCATTTAGTTTTCTAGAAGCCTTTGTTCCTTGAAGTTCCTTAATTGTTTTGTTTCTGAGGACTTTTATATATGTATGTATAACATATATTATATATGTGATTGTTGAAAAGTGAATTAATAATTGACGTAGTGATTTGCCTAAGAAGATTGGTTTGTGGTAGACATGTAGGTGACTAGAATCTTGGTACATACATTTTCATGTTTCTTTTTTTTTTTTGTTTGTTTATTTGTTTTAAACAGTTAACCTGTATTTAGAAATATTATTTGGGGAAATGTATAGTATGTCAATTTACTTTAAATATGGTAAGTACATTTGAAATGAACAATAGATCCTAGTAATACATCTATTGTAGAAAAGTTATTAATACATCATTTAGTGTGACTGATTTGAAGTCAGATTCCTTTTGTGATTTTCTCTATTTGATCGGTAGTTTTAATTTGATAAATGGCAAGTGAGTGGATCGACCCGAGAAGAAGAGAGGTTTTAGGGGACATAGAATCCTATGGAA